TTTAGTACTGTTTAGATTCCACTGACGACTAGATTATTTCATGAATCTTTTATCCTCGTTTGATCCCCGTTACTAAAAAAGAAATTCGCGACAATTAAATGCATTCAAATGTTTATTTACTTCTACACTACAAACAACAAGCAGCAGCTAAAAGAATATTTCAATTAAAATGACTAAGGACTAAAGAGTTCCTACTTTGAGTGCAAGTTAACGTGCGTAAGAAATCTGATGTCATGCTAAATTATTACAGCTACAGTACAGTAACAACAATCACAAGTAAAATACAAGTAAACTAATCAGAAAGAAAACATAACAAATGTGTCAGAACTAACAGTTTCGCTCGTGATACCAGATGGTATATCTGGATGTGCGCTACTCCGAGTAACGAAGGTTATGTCCACACATATACATTAAGTTGAACGCATACATTTTTTTTTGGTTCACACGTTTAATCCCGCTTATTGGGATTGACTTTGTCTGTACAAAGGAATTTTGAATGCTTAAATATCTATCAAACGAGGACGCCTGGTGAGAAACGGACCTCAAAAACCTGCAGTGGGCATGCCTTTACACTGTCTGTTAACGAATTGATTCGATGGGCCATTCTAAAGAAAGAATTTATGAAAAAGGTCAAAAAGATCGTTTTTGTTGTTTACGCGTGGAGGAAAGGTTTCCTACCTAGGAAGATGTACGCGAATGTTACGTAAGAGCAAAATATGTGTTAACATACACATGTGGACATAGCCAAAGTTTTTCAGTCTCAACAAAGTGTTTATATTTCTTTGTCTTTTGCCTATACTTGTTGCTTTTTTCTGGTTGCAAGACCTATGTCTAAAGTAATCAACAAATCAGATCACTATTAATTATCTGTCTAGAAGTTAACTAAGGGCATAACAAGTTAAAATCTAACAGATCCCCCGCCACTTGTGGTCTAACTCCCAAGGCCCTGAAACCGACAACCTTTTGTCCCCCTTGTCTTCAAACTTGTAATATTTCCATTCTTTAAAGAAATACGTAGAGTCATCCTTTTTATAGCGAAACACAGTATTTACAGGTCCAGTTAGACCTCCCCACTTAGAGATTGGGAAAGGGCCGGTGAAGGTTCCTGATTCCAGGCGGTAGTAAACATCTCCTGCAAAAGCATACGTCGCACCATTTCGCCAAGTGAAAACCCCGTCTACGGGCCCATCTAGTCCTCCCCAGTTCTCTATTGGCTGAGGGTTAGATACTTGACCGTGTTCTTTGCGGTACTGGTAATAACTGCTTCCCTTAAAAAAGTACGTGGCGTAGGACTTCTTAATATTCCCCAGGAAAACAGCATCAATAGGCCCCTGCATCCCACCCCAACCTTCCTTAATGGGTTTAGGATACCCAGAATCGCATTTTCCCTCTGCATCGTTGTACCGCCAGTAATTGGTCCCCTTAAAGAAGTACGTTCGCCCGTCATGCCATGTCATGGCGCCGTCAATATAAAACGGCAAAACCCCATGATATTCTAAGAATACTGACTGTTCTTCAAGCCTTTTCTCAAGAAGCTTTAGCGTTTGTTCAGCTTTAGCTGGCTCGTGCCCAAGGACTAAGTGCGCAATCGCTTTTGCTGCGTGGCCGCTGGTCTGCAAACAAAGTAAGTAAGCCAAGTACCTCTTAAGCTCTTGACACATAGCACCAGACTTGCCACGCAGCTTCTCACGCAATAGAAGTACGGAGGACTTTACCTGAAACACGTGACTTTTACCTAAGATCATGTGATCGACATCAAGGAGTACTTGGCGCATGCCGTCGTTGCTGTACGACAGAACAGCTTCCGCCCATTTTCTGGCTTCTTCGGAGTTTATCAATGCTCCGCTGCTGTTGTATTTGATGTCTATTTGCTGTTGGTGCAGGAAAAACTTCAAGCGTTGTATCTGAACGGGAAATGAAAGAGAAATAAAACACTCGAAACGAAATCCTGTTCGTGACACATTCTGAGGAAAATAATGCTGGTAGTTAAAGGGCTGCGGGACTAAATCAAGCTTAAAGAAAGGGAAGGAAAAAGTGGATCAGCTAAACTAAGTCGGATTAAAAGAGTCAAAGTATGTCTCTTTCTTTCGTTGAAATAAAGAAAACACTGAAACTCTATATATTTTCTGGTTATTTCCAGTATGGTAACTCGGTCCCAAGTTTATAAACTACAACCCTTACCTGTTTGCTTAGGTAACGTAGATAAGTTATAGATAACAAGGTCACGTGCACTAGAATTACCGTGTGTGTTATACTTACTGAGTCTGCGTAGACTGTGATTAGCTTAATTTCCTCGAGTTCTTTAGATATCTCCGCGAAACGACGATTAATTAGGCCCTCTACTTCGTCCAACTTATTTTTTATCTCCTTTAACTCCTTCATCTGTTTGTGTCCCTGCACCACACTGTACACAAAGTTAGCCACACTAAACACAGCTGCTATGGTTGACGTCACCGCGATAAAAGCCAGAGGAATGGCTAGAAGTTCAGCCCCAGTACGTTTATCACGGTCTATCAAAGCACGTGAGGACTGGGCATCAAGTTTCTTTGCTTTAAGGACAGCATCACTTGCGACGGTCATAACAAATGCCAGGATTGGAAAAGACCACAGCAATATGGCCCGCATGGTTCTTCACTGAAAGATTATTCAAATGGTCAGATCACAGATATCGACTTTATTGTTCGGTGCTGCATACAGCTCTGCCTACTTTTTCGCATCAGTCATTGAAATAAATACACATTAAAATATGACTTGTGTTATGCTTGGTTACTTGGCCGTTTGGTAAAAATGCCTGGATGTATGACAGCTTGGCTGCTTATATTATAATTGAAGCGCCAATTATGGGCTCACTCAATATTTTCCTTTCTGTCTCTGTCTTTGGAGAAACTCAGTTCAGTTTGCTCAGTTCTGCCCGGATGAGCGGATGCATATTCTCCCCTCCCCCTCCCCGCCCTGTCGTGCATATGACGTAGCAGACATTATCTCAATTTACCAAATAATAGTTTCTCACGGTAGTTAATGCCTTGTGGTTCTGGGTTAAGTATTGTTACCAGTAGGTAACATGTAACTGTAGCTAAAAACTGTAACTAATAAATAACTGTAACTAATGCCGGCCAAAACAACTCGGATCAAAGTAGTTAGTGACGTAAAAGACTTTTTTATTTTATATTGCAACCCAAATGAATAAAGAACGAGTTTTGTTTAACTGCCATAATTTCCAAAAGAATTGACAACACAAAAGTCCATACATGTAAACATTGTACAAAAAACTATTTATTTAAAGCAATTTTTTGTTTGCTAATTTCTAAATTAACTCATTTCGATTGAAAAAAAAGCTTGCAATTGAACTTTAAAATCCAAACTAAACGTTTAGAGCTATCTGCTCTGCAGTCTAACTCTGAACACCCATGCAACGCACTTTATGACTTTCACCCTGTTATAAGGTTAATGTAACTCAACCTTAATAACTCAATGCAAGGTGATAGAAGTGTGTTACCGACTGCAGTCTATATTTAACATTCCTTCTTCTCTAACCTAAAACATCCTGACATACCTTTAGAAACGCAATCTCTGATCTCTGTGGCGTTAAATACAGTTCCCGCAATTTATATGGGTACGATCAAATTATGGACATAAGGGCTCTAAATTATTTTCAACTCAATTTCGTACAAGTAGACTTAAGTTGGTTGAGAGGTGCACTCCACACAAGTCTAGCCGAATTACTTACCTTGAGTTGTGGCTGTTTAAAGGGCCATAGAAACCTGGAACAATTGACTGTAAACCTATCGTCAAGGAACTAAATTGACCATTTGTGCTCATTTTAAACCGTCTTTTTTCAATAACTCTGTGTAACGTGCAAAAAGTCTGCCTGATGTGGGAAGATTCTCTGCTTGTCGAAAGTTTTAATAAAACTTCCACAGGACAAAATTTAACTAAGACTTTGCGAAATAGGTCAAAAGAAAGAAATCTAGCGGTAGGGAACAGGATTACTGAGCCTACATTCGAAGGTACGTCATCGGTAAGACCTAAAACATACTTACAAGGGTTTTACGTATCCTCGCCCAATTTTTCTGCTTTTTCCAAAAATGCTTCCAGTTTAAATGCCTCAGAAGCCACTGGACTTTGTCAATTTTAGTGATTCACTTGTCAAACTGAGTTAACTATTCATACGCAAGCAAATTGCAGGAATGTGCCAATCATAGTTAAGCCTGTCCGACCGTGTGATTTGCCGACTCATTTGTTAGCTTTCCAGGCTTAACATATCCAAAACCTCAGCCAGGTGAACAGTCAGTTTTAATTAGTCCGTTTATTGATTCAATAATTATTAGCACGAACAAACACCCGAATGAAATCCGAACACACATCCTAAGACCGAAACGTATTATACACAAGAAAAAACAATATTTAGCAATATTTTAAAACCCTGTGAAATTACAACTCATTTAAAAGATAAATTCGTTGTTCTTAATTGTGTGAGTAGCGATAAAGAAAACTAAACCGACCAGGAGCGATAAGAGACACCTTTTGTCGTTTTCCGACTCTCCTCTTGTTCATTTCAATGTTACAGACGTGTTCCTGAACAACGACATCGGAGTCGATTGTAGGGTTGGAAGACAAGCGTAGGTACGAGATGTCCTGTTGCAGTGTACGTGACATGTAGCAGTGACAAAAGGGACGAGTTGCGTGATGTGACAGGGACTAAATCATAATAATGTTTGCAGTCACAAGAAAGTGTTGATTATATTAGATATTTCTCAGGGCCATGTTGCGGGGACGAGTCTCCTTGTGTTCAGGTATACTTGTAAATAGAGCAACAAGAATTTGAGGGACATTTCGCGAGATTTGTCCTGGCGCCGCGAATTTTTGCGTGTGTACGGTTGTGCAAGATGTCCCTGCAACGGAATCAATAGTTGAGCCAATCACAGATAACGACCAGACTTCTTTGTTGCTGGTACACTGACAAAAAAGATGGCTGTTATCATTATATCTCTTTTTCCATTTCCACGTATCTAATTAGCTACTGATAAAGACAGAACTTCACAAGCTGTAC